CTTCGACAGCCGCTGATTCCGTGCCGGAACACACAAGTCCGACTTCAGTTGCTTCTGAAGGTCATCTCGAGGCGGCAAAGCAGACAAAGGTAGAGTTGGCAAGACGAAGCCAGCATGCATCTTCACCGAGGGCAAGTTCATCAAGTTCAGCCTACAGTGCCAGCTACAGTGTTGACCAGAGCAGATCCAGGTCACGAAGGAGGCATCGACAGAAAGGGCGACGAGGTCGACACCAACGTGGCAGGAAGCCGTCAAAGCGTGGCCGTGATCGCAAAAGGCGATGATCGTGGAAGGCTGAACGTGTGGTTTCAAAATGTGCAGTTGTGCGAGTTCAGTGTTTTGTCAAGTGGGAGTCCAGCATGTCAGACATGTCAAGGTTTCAAAAAGACTTTGTCTAGAGGGGTTTTGCTCTTTGAAACATGTTGCGCACAAATCCACTGAGTGAACCTTCAACCTTGAGTGAGCCTGGAGTGAACCTTGAGTGCACTTGACTATAGCATCATGTCAAATTCAGGTTTGAGGTTTGAGGTTTCAGGTTCAGGTTCTGTCCTAATTCCTCTCATGGTCTCTCCTCTCAGGGTTTCTGTTTTTGAGGACTTCGTGACTTCATATGCGCACTTTATGTCGACAGGTTCAGTCCCCTCAGCGTGAAATCCTCTCATGGTATCTCCTTTCAGGGTTCAAGGTTTTCAAGACTTCGTGACTTCATATATGCAGTTTTATGTCGACAGCAGTGAAAACCGAACCTTGAGTGAACTTTGAGTGAGAGAGATACGACGCGAACTTCTTGGATTGTTTTTGTGCCTTCATAGTTTGAAGCTGACAAACGCAAGATCTGAACCACTTTGAATTGGAACTTGTTCTGATAAGCTCCTTCAAGCTCAAACTATTTGTGGTATACATTCGACCAGCTGTGCGCTTTGAACATGTCGGACAACGTGCACCAGAACAAGGATTTGAAGGTTGGTACCACTGCTGGCGCCTTTCCCAAGCAGGAAGATGATGCTAAAACTTTGGTTCTTGGAGAACTATCTTCCGAAGAGTGGAGCCCTGGGGTGGATGACCCTCCTGTGAACGAGGACTCTCAAGTACCTGATAGCCCAGGGGTGGATGTGGATGACTCTCAGGTTCTGCAAAACTCTCAACCTGTCTTTTCACCCAAGGAAGAGTTCCCTGATTCTCAACCTGTTGAACGGGTTGAGGAGAACAAGGAAGATCCATCTCCCGAGTCGCCCAACATCCATGATGACAAGAGTGTGGAGGACGAAGGGAAGGATGAGTCTGCTGAGGGTGAAGAGGAGGAACACGCTACCGACGATGAGGTGACTGGTTTCTTGACCATGGATGACAACGGTAACTTGCTTCAACATGGCCATGTCAGCGATTATTCCTACCAGCTCATGCACTTCATCCAGGACATCATGGCTAATGCGGCTAGTAATACTGCGGCGTCGAGCACCTCTACTCCTCCAGTTCAGGCTCCAAACCCAGGTTCCCGTGAACAGCGTCGTAGGGCGCGCAACGCTCGCTTGCGCAAGCTGAGGGCAAAGAGCGGGAAGTAGAATCCCTCTGTGTGGGCTTTGCTCTTTAGACGTAGAATCCCTTTTGCGCAGGGCGGTTTTT